ACAGAGGACCGTAGACTGGTGATCTTTGAAGGCCCTTTTCCAGAGGGGCCACACTTCATTTGTCTGGTGAGGCCCCAGTCATGTGAAGGCACACCCAGAGTTCTGGATGCAGCGCGTTCCATTCGAAGCACGGAGCCTACTTTGTTCGGCCAAACCTCACTAGTGGTCTTTCAAGTTGTTTGCAGCTTCCCGCTATGACCCGAGAAAGCTAGGGTAAACATCTCTGTTCATAAAACTTTTTTACACTTGTTCAGCTATTTTCTTAGCATGAATTTCAGGAAGTCAAGCTGCTGGATTCAGGGGTTTTCATATTTCAACCTTTGATACGTTTCCCGCTTGGCCTTCCAGAAAGAAGGTGTCAATTCTCAGTCCTACCAGCAGTGTGGGAGAGGGGCTCTTTGCCCACATCCTTACCAACAGTTTGTTATTCTTAGTATCTTATCCCAGAAATTGAATATAAAAATAAATAGGAGGAGAAGACAGTTTCAAGCTCTGAGAAGGAAGTTTCCGAAACGGATCGTTTTTCCTGTCTTGTTCGATAAAAGAAATGAGACGGAGGCCATCCTGCCGGGCAGACTTTAAATCGTGAGTATGACGGTTCAGAAATCCGAACTCAGGATGCAGCCAATAGAATGATCAGACCGTTTGTACCCATTACCTTAGGAACGCCTCCTCCAGCTTAGGCACCACCTCTGGCCCTGGGGTGGGGCAGACCTGAAGTTCAGGGCCAGCTCCACCCCTCATTCGCTGTCTGATCTTAGGCAAGTTACTGTAAGTGGGTGTGCCTCGATGTCCTGGTCTGTAAAATGGGCCGGTGAACGCAGCACATATCTGAAGGAGTGGTCATGAGAGACCACAATGAGCTGTAGGTTCTGGCCTCAGATGAGAAGCTGTAGCCGGAGAGCCATGCATCCTGTCAGCATGAGGCTGGAGACCCAGCTCTACTCCTTCTGCCCCCTTTTATGCTGCAGGGTGAGACCCCGGGGAGTCGTGACAGGATTTCAAGGTTACCTGGGTCATAAAGGACTCCTCGCAGTCCTGGCCCCTTCCCCGCCCCACAGCGGGGAGGCTCGGTGTCCCTCTGCCATGAGCATCCCCTGGCCCCCATCTGTTGCTCAGGGGCGTGGCTTGGGTGGAGGAGGACTTGGCCGGTCTTGGGCTCTCCGAAAGGACCAGAGGCCGTGTGGGGGAAGAAGACATGCCCTGCGGACACATAAAACAAGGAGAGATCCACCTCAGCGTTTAACAAGTGTTCTTTTCTTGCCCTACATCATCGTCACCGTCACCACCACCATCACCACTGAACTCTCAGGCATTTCCGAATCCACTCCGTGGCTGTCGCTGCTGCAGCCAGACGGTCGCATTGTCACGTTGACACTAAATAAGGCCCGTCCGCACGGCCTGGACAGCCTCTCGTGCGTCCCTGTCTTCCCTTCCGGGGCAGCGTAATGCCTTCTAGGAGAGTAAGAGCGAGCGCTTCTCGAGAGCCTATGGCGGACCAGCCGGCCCTGTGCCCGTCATACGCGGGGCACCCCTGGGAACGGCAGGTCACCTTATCCTGAACAGACAAACCTCAGTTCACTCTGAGGATCACGGCCCCGCGGGGTCGTGATCCCAAGCCAGCCTTGGGAAGCCCGCGCTCCTCACCCCCTTCTGAGCCCTTCTGACGCGGCCAACTAGCTGCCCGACCCCTAGGCAAGTTTCTTAACTTCCCCGCCTGTTTCCTCATCTGAAATGTGTGCTCATGGTAATGCCTATTTTCGGGGGTTAAAGGACTTTGGTACGGGCTGCCCGGCCCACGATAAGCTCTTCATAAATCACAGTTGTAAAGATTTTTTTTTCTTTTTAATATGATCAGGGAGGGATCAAGAAGAGGAAGGAGATTCAGCAAAGGAGACCGAGCAGCGGCACCAACAAGATCAGGGAGGGGGAACCGGGAGAGAGGGGTGTCATGGAAACCGAGGGGGAGAGTATGCCGGGAAGGAGGGGGCCCTAACGCAAAGGGCTACTCAGAGGCCGGTTTCTTCTGAGAAGACAAAAGAGCAATTTTCATCTCTTAGCGACCGATGAGAAGAAAGGAAGAAAGGAAGAAAATTGGCCTATAGCTTTATTTTTTTAAGCTTTTTCTATTTAAATTCCAGATAGTGAACGATAGGTGTTATAGGGGTTGCAGGTGTACAATAGAGGGGTTCGACACTTCCATACGTCCGTCACCCAGCGCTCATGGTGACAAGTGCCCTCCTTCATGCCCATCCCCTAGTTCTCCCATCAGTGTGTCCCCTGGAGTTCAGTCTGTTTCTTGCTTTGCCTCTCTCTCTCTTTTCCTCCTTTGCTCATCTGTTTTGCCTCTTAAATTCCACGTACGCGTGAAACCATAGGGTGTTTGCCTTTCTCTGACTGACTTGTCTCGCTTAGCATAACACTCTCTAGCGCCATCCATGTCACTGCAAATTAGCCTACGGCTTTCAGGGAAGCCTTTTTTTTAGACTAACTCCATTAATCTGATCAGAATGCTCAGGTGTCAGTTCCAAGTCTTCTAATTAGGGAAAAATGCATATTTCTTTGTTTTGTTTTTTTTTCTTTAAAGTAAAACAAACAAGCAAAAAGACATGTCAGGTTACATCAGGCTGGTGAAATAAAAATTCAGACAATCTCAAACTGACACTGCGGAGAAGAGGGGAAAAGAAGAAAAAGGGATGGATCACAGTACAGGTTTCCAAAGCAATGGTCTATACTGAACCCCCAGACTAACTCCCGTGAAAAGGAGGGTAGGAAATGGACAGAACTTACTGGTGTTTCATTCCATCTTTCAATTCCACCTGGTGCCACAAAGAACTTACGGCCGCCTATACTGTGTCTTTGGACAAATATTCAACAAGTGTTTCCAGAGTACAATCGAGAAAAAAACGATCGGGAAGCGGCCTGCTATTCTAATCTAGACTAGATGAGGGAGGAAGATAGCTCCCGAGGGGAGATTCAGGGAGACATAGAAAGGAATTAAGGGTGAAAGTCTACATACGCTGTAAAGCACTGGGGGCCCCTGTGGCTTTGGGGGCCTGAGTGGAGCTGCCACTTACCTGGGGGTGGCGGAAGGGTCCCCTTTAGCTCGGGAGAAATGAGGGTGGCTTTCATGGTCCCAGAGATGCCCCAGAGGGATGCAAAGAGTGGCCCTGTCCTGGCCAGTTATCAGCCAAAGGATCTGAGGCAGAGAGGCCCACGCAGTCTCCTTCTGGCCCGGAGGGTTGAGAAGGCGGAGGCTTAAGGCAAATTCGGGGTGCTGAGGGTGGGGGAGGGGAGATGGCAGAGCACAGGAGGCCGAGCCTCCAACCCTCACCACCATCACCACCGAGGGGTGAGTGTGGGTGGCCGAACTGCGGGTTTTAGGGCCGGATTGTGAGGTCATTGATGGAAAAGGAGCAAGAAGCCAGGGAGGAGCCGAGGGGCTATTTCTGGAAAAAGCAGCACTTCAAGGCGCGTTCTGGGTATGGCAGCCCAGGGAAGACCGCCCCGGCTTCTCCTGCTCCCTCGGGGCCTCAGCCTGCACCCCCTCCACCCCTCCTGAGCTGTCATCAGCTGCTAGCCTAACTAAAACCCCAGTGTCTCTCCCAGAGCCCCTCAACCTCCGCCATTCCTAGGACAACACAGCCCAGAGTTCTGTGTGATCCCCTGGGCTCTGCGATTCCTCCCAGGCTTCGTGAGGCTGTGGATCTCCGTGTGTTTCCCTGGTCATCGCGCCCTCACGGGGGGGGGGGTCAGCTCCCCTTACCCAAACAGCTCTGGGCTTCTCCCCGATGCCGCCCCCCCCCCGCCCCCC